AGAATCTTCTCTTGGAAAACCTTTGGTGTTCACTTCCCCAGCCTGTGTTCCACTTGCCTCTTATGATGTCACTTCCTGGCTTGCTATTCCCCTGAGCCCACTTAGGCAAACTCCCACTATCTTGTCTCCCTCTCTCCACATTCACTCAGGAGTCTCCCTGCCGGGATGGCAGTCAGCTTATTAGAATGAGAAGCAGTGTCAGGATAACCGTGAACTGTGCTTAGTTTGATTGACAGCAGGATAAAAAGGGAAAATTAAGTCTCTACCAATTCAGAACCTCTGCTCCTTTTACCCAAGACACCCAAACTTTTCTCTCCCTAAATCTAACCAGTGTTTTTCATCAAACACCAGATTATCTTGAACATCAAGCCAAGCAAAACAGTGGTTTCTAGAGGTATTCCACCCACGAGAAAATGAGGAAGTGTGATCTAAAAAGGTTTTTATCAGAAGCTGGGAAATTGTACCCTAAGTCCTGTATATGTTTTGTTTTGTTTTGTTTTTAAGAGAGAGAAAGGGTGGGGGGAGTGCGAGGGAGAGGGAGAGAGAATCCTACATGCCCAGCCTGACATGGGGCTCAACCTCAAACCCCTGAGATCATGACCTGAGCTGAAATCAGGAGTTGACCGCTTAACCGACTGAGCTACCCAGGCGCCCCATGTCCTGTATACTTTTAAGCTGGCTTGCCTTCAGCCCTTTGGGAACACTCCTCTTAAGCTGATTTCTATTACGATGAGAACATCATCGCCTCTAGAAATCCCAGTTGTCTTCCTTCTTTGATACTGTTTGTGTTATGGCAATGTGCTGCCTCTACTGAATACACATCTTGATTCTTGAAGTTTATATGCTCTCCTCTAATTGGCTGGGTTGACCTTCCCAGGACATAGCTAAGGTAGCCCTTGAAAGCAATAAAAAATAAAGAAAAAAATAAAAAACTTAAGGAGTCCAGATAGCTCCAAAAGTCAGGTAAAAGCAAGGGGCAGGGGGTTGGGGGGGTGGGCGGCAGCAGGGGGGGAGATGTCAGAGGGAGTGAGGAAAGATCAAGGATTAACTTGCAAGTCCTACTTTCTCTCATCTCTGTCTCCCCTCGTGTCTACTGGATCACTCATCACCTAGACATTATTTTTATTAAAGTTCACCCCAGGGATCCCTGGGTGGCGCAGGGGTTTGGCGCCTGCCTTTGGCCCAGGGCGCGATCCTGGAGACCCGGGATCGAATCCCACGTCGGGCTCCCGGTGCATGGAGCCTGCTTCTCCCTCTGCCTGTGTCTCTGCCTCTCTCTCTCTCTCTCTGTGACTATCATAAATAATAAATAAAAATCTAAAAAATAAAAAAATAAAATAAAGTTCACCCCAAAATCAATTGATAGCACAAATCTTAACATGCCTTAAAAAAAAAATGATGAACAGTAGACTGTGATATTTGCTCTTGGTTGTTCCTCGGCAGGAATCAGGGTCATTCACCAGCGTCTCAAGTGGCTGTAAGACACATCTCCTGCCAGGATGCCTGTAGGGACAAGAACTGGTATGGCAGGGACACATTTGAGCACCCTTAGCATTACCTTCCTCTCCATGCCGTCTCTGGAGAGATTGTTTTAGGCCTCTTGAAAAGCCTAGGGAATCTACCTTTTCATATCCAGGAACTTGATTGCTGCTTGGCAGCTCTAACCTTTTATTTTTTTTTTCCTGTCTTTAAGTGTTCATATTTTATATCCACCTCCTCAGTGGAGGCCAGACTGTATACACAGCCATACTATATTGTCACAGATCTGTCTGAGAACTTCCTTAGGGGTGATGACAGGGCAAAAATAGCTTTATAATGTTTTCAGATCATTCTAAATGAAAAAGGTTAATTGTATGTCATTCTTATAGGAATAAATCAGTAGAAATGATTAGCATGCTTTGATATATATATACATATAGGCTGTAAGTGATCCCTGGTAAAATCCCGATTTACTTGTCTTAGTGAAAAGAACACCGTTTCTTCACTAAAGAGATAACTGCCAGAGTCTATAGGGCAAGCTGAACTTAAAGCTCAAGACGTAGCTAAAATCTTACCCAACGAATGAGTTATTTACAAAGGAAATTAAAGCATTTTCAAGTGAAGCCCCACAGTTTAGCCATAACAAAGTCAATAAACGAACATGATTTGTCAGTAAGTTCATCGGGTCTCAGTCGGTGTACACCAAGTGAGAAAGGCTTCTCTTGTAGTCCGGAGGAGGCAGAGCAGTTTGGTTAAGCCCGAGAGGTGGTGTGGCATGTCTGTCTTCGGAGAGACCGATAAGAATGGTTCCCCCGAGGCCGGGGGGGGGGGGGGGGGGGGAGGATGGGGAATGGTCCTCCCGGATGGACGATGAAGTTTGAAAAAGGCAGCTCTGCCTAGAAGCAGCAAGAGAAAGTAGGTGGTCTCCTAAATTGTTAAATTGTTGTTTCATTTGGTTGCCCGTGACCTCAATTCCCTGAATCAAAGGTCCTATGTTACCACTCTTACCAACATCAGCAGCCACTATAGTATTTTTCCACCCAAAAAGGGAATGGGGGAGGGGTGCGAGGCAGGACAGGAAGCTGACACTTTGAGAATGTACCTCCTCGCAACTATCCCATTTAATTCTGACCGTGAGGGTACGTGGTAACTTGCTCAGGGTCACGTAGCGAGCTGTCGAGCTGTCGGAACAACTGGGGCTCAGCTCCAGCCAAGGACGTCACACTCCTTCCCGGAAACAGTAGCGGTTCGGTTCAGTGAGTCTTTACCGAGCACCCGTCATGTTCGGGTCCTGAGGATGTGCCAGGGGGTACGTGTGCGTGGATCGCGGGCCAGGAGACCTCCCCCCGTAACAACGTGGTTTTTTAAACGTATGTGTCTATGTCCTTGTGTTTCCCTCACCTTATCTTCTCAAAATTCATGACTTTTAGGAAGCCTTCATGGGTGGGCCCGCTGGTTACCCCTCTTCTCTCCTTAGCACTTACTCACGTGTTGTCCCACGTTGCTTCGGACGAGCTTGTTTATTATGTTCCTGGTGCTCTCCGCGCTGTCGTGCAGCCTATTCTTGTATGCTTCCTTGGTGCCTCTTCTGCAGGGCTTTGCACGCAGTGGGTTCTTAAGTTCAGTAGACCCTTAACATTTGCTGGTACGGAGTTCATTCGTAATTCATGAATCTTTGGCAGGTCACAGTTTACAGGTTTCCTGGGATGTGAATTTGAATTCACCCAGATGCCTTAAAGGCTGGATCTTACCACTAAGCTGGCGAGTGGGCAGAGTCAACAGTCTGCCATCTCAGTTTTACCTGAGTAGACTTGGAGCATTTTTATACATTAATTCTTGAGAAGCGATTAAAATGCAGTTTCTTTTTTTTTGAAAATAAGCTTCAAGCAAGGGAAAAAAAACTTAGTTAATGTTGAGAAAGTAGTCACTGAGAGTGTGGGCCATGCATATGACTCTCCCTGAAGATCAGTTGTAAATGAGAGACAGGGAAATTCCTCAGTTCCGGGTCTGTAAGTTTTAGGATATTCAACTCCGAGTGTATGAGAATGCTAAAGATACACCATATACTCTCCTTACTGGCCTCCTCATCTCCAGTGGGACACATCCTCACCTTAGAAAGCCTTTGTTCAAGTCCAGCGGTGCTTGACCAGGGCTGTACAACAGAAGCACCTGGGGGACATTTATCAAAGTCCTGCAGGATGTCACTAAAATTTTTTACTTACTTACTTTTTGCTTTACTTACTTAAAAGATAAATATTTTAAATAAATTTATTAAATCACCTAGGGGATATTTATTAAAAAATACATGTAAAAAGGCCCTACTCTAGACCTAGAGAAAGAGAATCTCTAGGATTGAGATTGGGATGTGTACATTCTTGAAAAAGCACATGAAAGAATTCTGATGAATATACTCCTGATTTAGAGAGAGAATTCCTTTCAGCAAATACTTCTGGACAGCCTCAGGGGGTGGGATATATTGCGCTGTCGTGCCGTGTTGGTGGACAAACCAGTGGCTTCCAGGCACCATTTAATGCTTCTTCAGCAGAGCAGTGTCACTCAGCGACTCCTCAGTAGTCAAAGGATTTATTACTCGTTTTGTGGATTGTTGGACCTTTGTTTCTCTTCTTCCTTCTTTTGTGTGTCCTCTAGGACTTTGTTGCTCTTCAGTATCTCCAAAGAGAAAATAAGTAAATATATTCAAATCACCTGAGTTTTTATTTGCCTGAGTTCTTTGGGGGGAGAAAAAAAAGGTGGAAATAAGAGGGTAACAGTCATCTATGATTTTTAAAAATGTAAATTATCAACATGATCATTTTTTGTTGTTTACAACCATACATAGACCATTGATAGATAACCAAGCTTTTGATTTATATCTATGATTTATATTTATATTATTTATAAATATATAAATATTTATATTTATATTTATGATTTATATCCTTTCTTTTGAGACCCCAGAGTACTTTCTTCTTTTCATTTGCTAACCACCATCCTAGGGACCAGGGTGGGACTTCCCTGCTCCCCACACCCTCTGGCCACCTTTCACTACAAGTCTAGGCTAAAGCCAGGAACTGTCCTGAGTTTTAATATTTTTAGTTTGCAGTTTCACTGAGGGCAGGGTTGGGGGTTTGTGAACTGAAGGAAGTTAATAGAATGTATATTGAGATCCCGAGAGGCCAAATGCCACACAGAAAGCCAGTCCCTCCTAGAAGACAAGGCTGGTTTGTTAGTTGGGTGGGGGTGGATAGGGGTGGGGGTGCGGTTTTTTATCATTTTACAGTTTGCTGACTTCCAGTTAAAAAAGATGCTCTCCCCAAAGTCGCAATCTACTGAGTCAATGAAGATGAGCTAAATAGCCTTTTGTGCAGTCAGTTGAGTTGCTTTTCTTAAATTGCACCCATATCTCCAACTGTGAAGTTGAGACATCTGATTTGAAAAGTGCATTTATAAATGGAAATAATAATTATCAGCCCCTTGCTAATGCTTGTTTTTGTTTTTGTTTTGTCTCTTCCTTTCTCTAGCATGAAAGACTTTCTAGGTAAGACCTTTCCCTGTTTTATATGCATGCTTAATACTTGTGAGAAGTGCATGTGTAATTAAACTCAGCTTTATATCATGTACTCATATTTCTCACCTCCTTTCCTTCCTTTTCATTTCCTCAGCCACCACAGTAGTTCAGACTTTTATTATTTCCTGCCTAAGTTAATGCAGTAGCTTCTCAACTCACCTGCTACCTTCAGATTCTCCTCCCTCCGGTTCATTTTGTATGCTTCCACCACATTGATTTTCCTAAAGCACCTACCAGGCACCGTGCTACGGAAACAGCATGAATAAAGCACTACCCTCGCCTTCAGTAAGGGCCAAGGTAGTAGTATGGACAGGTATTATGAGCAAAGAGAAGAGGCCATTAGCCTAATCTGGTTAGGGTAGATGCCCAAATTGAGATGGAGTTTAGATACGGTCATTTAATAGTGGAGCTAACACGGTTCCTTCTACCTAGATGGTGCTCTGTGATAACTCACTGAATGAGCTAAAGACCAGTGTTGCAACTGCTGAAAAATTAAGGAAGCAGATCAGAGTTTGGGGGAATGATCGTCTGTAATTTTTCACCTAACATTTGAAGAGACAAAACTGATCTTCCTGAAGAACAGAATAGAAAATAGTAAAGATTAAGGAGCCGAAAGTATGAAGCTGTCTCCCTTTCCACCATTCCTCTGATAGAGAAGTTAAGAAGAGGTTGAGGGGAAATGTAGTTATGGGATAACATTGGGCAGATGAGTCTTATAATCTGTTTGATAACTGAGCTTGTTCTACCTTAATAATATATTCTAAAACGTATAAGCTTGCATGGGTTCTTCCTCTGCTTACCCTCTCACCAGGCACGAGCTGAAGATAAATAATTTACATCTAACCTAGCAGAAAATTAGTTTTGTAAATGTGATAGAGACTGGTATTTTGCTATAGTTAATTTTTTTGAATTCTGTTACATTATAATGGCCATTTATGAAAAGAGACTTTCCCTATAGACCTCAAAATATGCTATAAAAACTAATGCTTAAAACAGCGAGATACTAGTTCAAGAATAAACAAAGATACCAATGGAACACAATAGACAGTCCCCCAAAGTCACGTGTATCAGATGATTTTTCAACTCTGGGGGGGGAAGAGTTATTTAATAAGTGATCATTGGGACAACTGACTGTTTGGGAAAACACATCCTTCCCTGAAGCCATACCAAAAAACAAAAGCAAAACCCGATTCAAGATGGATTACAATTTTTTTTTATTACAATTTTTAAGAGAAAAAGATTTTACTACAAAAGCAATAGAAGAGGAGAATATTCATAATCTTTATATGGGAAAGACTCTCCCAGGCACGGTACCATAGGGGAAAAATCGTCAAAATTAGTTATATAAAATTTAAAATCTCTGCTAGTAAGAGACACCCTAAACAGACAAAAAGTAGAGTGAGAAAATATATGTGCAGCTTATGTTAGGTATTTTAAAAGCCTTGCTATATAGGATGTCCCCACAGTATAACAAGCAAAAGATTAACAAAGGCTATGAAGAGACAATTCAGGGACAGATAAGCAACCAAAGATACTGAACCTTCCTAGTGATCTACAAATACTAAGATTAATGACAATGACCTGTTTCTCCTATTGGAATAGAAAGGATCTAGCTCTGAAGGACAGTATAGCAATACGTATATCAACATTTAAAATTACACTTACCCCTTGATCAAAAAGTTCTAAGATTTTATCCTAAGAACATAATTGGACAAATGCTATAACTAAAAGTCATAGACAAGTCTTCTCACTGTAGCATCATTTATAGTAGCTAGAAAGTTCAAAATAATATAGGTTTCCGTCAATAGAAGATTAAATTATTATACAGCCATACAGTAGAAGACTGTGCAGTCATTTTTTTTTTCTAATGAGGCAGATCTATATCTACTTACATAAGATAAGGTGAGATGCCTCCGGGCGTAGTGATAAGTGGAGGGAGGAGGAGGAGAGTTAGACAACAGTATGTATTATCTGGTTTTATTCATAGAAATATATATATTTTAATGTATTTATGTGTTTAACCTTTCGCAAGGATAGAAGTAAAGTGTTAATGGGGGTTATTTCTCAGGCAGGATTATGGAGTGACTTTTACTTTCTGTTTTAGACACTTTGGTACTACTTAAGCATGTATTGCTTTTGTAATCAGAAAAGTCAGTAAAGTGGTTTCTATTTACAAAAAAATTTTTTTAAGCGTAAGAAGAAAAAGTTGTGAAGAATGTCGCAGGCCTTAGCATCGCTGTAAGACCAAGTGGCCATATGTCGCTAGGAACTCTGCCTCTCCCCCTCTGTGTCCTCCTTATTGCTCCTCGACTTCCGCTAATACTTACTTCGGCTCCCCCACCCCCAACTTTGGCAATAGCTACCACAGGACAGAGCCATCAGATGGAAGTTCCACAGCTGTGACTCTGCACACATCCCGGGTCGGGGACGTAGAGCTCCGCAGGGCTGGTTTGTACATAGCAGTTTTATGTGTGCCACACTCTCGTTTGAAAAGAACAAAGTCTGGGAAAAATGTAAACCACTACCAAGGAGCAGGATGATCGTTACACTAGTGTAAACGGATCATCAGCTGAGAGGCCCTTCCACTAAGGAACTCACCGCTCCTGGAAATGAAGCCACCATCAGCTCTCAGAGCTCAACTGCTGGAAGATGTAGCAATCCTCATCACAGGCTAACAGTCGCAGTGTGGACTGGGGAACAGAGGGCAGAAAAATAGCTGTTTGGGCACGGCGGTGGTACCCTGAAGTGAGATTCCAACTAACCAGCAGCGCACCTCAAAAACATAGCCCTCATTGCCACCCCCTCCCCATCCACCCTCCAGCTCAGAACTCCAAGTCCATATGTTTCTGATTCATTGACAGTTCATTGGAATCATTGTCTAAGAGCCATTGAGGTCCAAGAAACTTCTTTTAAAAGCACACTCTTCGAGGAAAGCTGTTGAACCCCAAACTAATTTGAAAAGCTCTGAGATTTAAATCCGTCCATGAATCCAAACAGCCAGTTTTTCATGTAAGCTCCATTCTTGGCAAATGACAGCCTCCTCCTCCAAGCCGGTGCAGCTTAACCCCAAGGTCCAAGAATGCCGGCAGAGGAGATTCAGGGAAGGAATGTGCGTTGTTTTTGGCCAGAGTTCTCAAGGGCTTCTTAGAAAAGGCGTAAACTACCCTGAAGCATTACCTTCTCCCCCATTTCTTCATTCTCAAAACCAACATTTACCTTCCATGTATCTGCCACAGGTTGGAATCAGGAGGTAGTAACCCTACAAGCAGCGATTCCTACGGGGACCGGGCCTCAGCAAGAGCCCGCCGGGAGGCCCGGGAGGCCCGCCTCGCCACTCTGACCAGCCGCGTGGAGGAGGACAGCAACCGGGATTATAAAAAAGTAGGCTCCTTTTGCAACTTTCCGGTTGTTGGGCTACAACACATAAACTTCTCAGCCTTTTCCCCAATGTAGAAAAATGAGTCTAGTTCCCATGAAGCAGTAAATAGTAGCAACTAATTTCTTTCGGGCTTCTTGGTCTGCTCCACCTCTTCCTCTAATGTCCTCAGTGCAGTAAATGTACACCTCGAATCAGATACTTAGAGGTATAGGAAAAAGTAAAAGATCGACAATTGTAGACAGGAGAAATAAAAGTAGTGCTGTGTGTCTGAGCCCGGAGAGTCATTTGTAGACAGTGGTGTTATTAACAAACACATGCTCTTACTGAGGACCTGCGAGTGTCAACCAAATACTTCCTGGTGATGGTGCATGATAATCTGGTTTGGAGGGAGTTGAAAACATCTTGCAGTTCATTTCCTTTGGTTCTTGCGGAGGAGTACCTAGCTCCAGGGGCAGACTTGAAGGCTTCCCTTTCAAGTGCTGAGATGCTGGGGGAGAAAACCATTTTTGTTAATGAAATGTTTGTTTTGTTAATGCTGTGTTAAGCAGAAATCGAGACTAAAATCAAGATACACACTAGATTGGCTCTAAAAAAACAAAAATAATAATAATTCTCTTTGTATGGGGAACCACAACGACTACATTTCTCCCCGGAGATTGGTATTTTTGAAGTTGGAGCACCATCCTATTCGTGTTTAGCACCTGGGACTTCACCAATGTTAAGAAGCAAGAACCAATTGGCCGAACGTGTTCTGTTTCCTAGACTTCCTCCATCTTCTCCGTGTGCCCCACAATGATGATTTGGGGGGGGGGGGTTCTCCTAGGATGAAACTGCATGAGTGCTAATCCTGGGAGCCCTGCCTCGTAGGTGACCCGATTCTCTTTCCCTCCTCTCAGCTCTACGAGAGTGCCCTGACCGAAAACCAAAAACTGAAAACAAAACTTCAAGAGGCCCAGCTAGAGCTAGCAGATATAAAGTCCAAGCTTGAGAAGATGGCCCAGGTAAGGGAGAAGAGGAAATAGGGTGGGTGGCAGGGGGGAGTATGAGGAGGCAAGGTAACCTAGGGGTCAGAGATGGGAAGTGACATGGAATTAAGATCGGCCCTTCTCAGAGACAGAAGACAGAAGCCCTTTAGATTCTAATTTGATCTCAGAGTTCAGTTAGCATTTAACTTTAGAATGGAAAAGCGATCGTTCAGTGAACAATTCCTAACATCCTGAATGCTGATAATTAATATTATGGATTATCTACTTATTTCTTAGTAGAAAAGTGTCGACCAGCATCACAAGATTAGTTCTAGGCAGTGTCTCCTGTCTTGATCATCATGTTTCAGTTCAGTTTATCTACTATCACCTCCTAGAGAGAGGAGCCCAGTAAACCCAGTGCAGAGAGATAGCAGATTAGGCCAATAGAAATAAGTGGCTTGTGTGGGTCGTATAAGAAATCAGGGACTGGGGCGCCTGGTAGCTCAGTCAGTTAAGCATCGGACTCTTAGTTTTGGCTCCGGTCACGGTGTCAGGGTCGTGAGCTTGAGTCCTGAGTCCAGCTCTACACTGGGGCCTGCCCGGCAGCCTCTCTCCCTCTCCTGCCCCTCCCCCTCCCTCAGGCTCTCTCGTGCTCTCTTTCTCTAAAAAGAAAGAAAGAAATTGAGGAACAAAGGTGTTAATCAGAATGTCCCAAAGCCCAGGTTCTGTCCCGCAGCATATGTTACCTCCTCAAGCCACCACCGTTTTCCAGCCTAAGAATAAAGAGTGTTAGTAGCAAACAGACCAGATAAACCATTTCCTCTCACTGCCAGGCCTGATTTAATTAGGCGGTGCTTTAGAGGGTCCTAGAGGCAATAACCTCATCACCAGTGAGACCAACACTGCAGCCCAAAGCCAGAGCAAGTGCTGTCTTGGTTTATTGCTGAGTTAACAGGAAACCTATTGAGTTATTGCCCTCCCGGAATGCCCGGGGACTCAGAACTTTGAGAGCTGAACTGAGATAAAAATGGCTCATTACTGGGAAAGCATAAATGAAAACTAGAAATGCCTGGTCGTTCTGGCCATATGACATAATCCAAAAGCAAAGACTAAGATGCTAGGACCGTACGGTGCAGAGGACACGGGGCTCAGGGAGCAGGGCTGTTAAGTACCTCGGAACAGCTTGTGGCAACCCTCCTGGGATGGGATGGGATGGGATGGGATGGGATGGGATGGGATGGGATGGGATGGGATGGGATGGGATGGGATGGGATGGGATGGGATGGGATGGGCCAGCGCGTGGAAGACAGCACCCCAGAACTCGCCTGAGACTTCCGCAGGACAGCCAGGACACCGCGTTTGCCAGAGGGCGCGGCAGGGTGCCCAGTGGAGGGCCTGGCCCGCGGCTGGTAGGAGGCTCCCCTCTGCCTGGTGGTTAGAGCTGAACGCGGCTCTTCCGCTGCGGAGACTCACTGCCCCAGAGTGACTCAGTGAGACCAGGAAAGTGGGTCTCGATCCAGAAGAAAATCTATATGCACACGCGTGCGCACGGCAGGGACAGACCACATAAACCTCAAGGGCTCTTCTGGCCCGCAGCGTTCCCGGGCAGGCCCCGGGTCTCATTCACAGGACATGCTCAGAAGGTGCCCGAGGCGGACTCTTACTCTGAGTGGTGCCGTGAACCGACAAGGATTAATTAATACAGATCTTGGGCTGCTTCTCATCAGGAATCACTGGGGCTACTTTGCAGAAATTTGCAGAGCAGCCCTGTGAGGATCCACAAGAGGACCCGATTTCACCTGCTCCCCACTCTCGCCAGAAGCACTCTTCTGACAGCACACTTTTTGACCTTTAGGGGTTCTTGGCTTTTCCACCGGCTTGTGCTTCGGAGCAGTGAGCAGCCTAACAAGCAGCTGACATTGGCTTGCACGGAGGACACTGAAAATAAAATCAGCCTTTGCAGTCACTGGGGAGCAGGGTCTACTTTCTAGCCAACTGCTGTGCTGGGTGTGTCGGAGTACACTTAGTTTTGCCAAATACAGAAGAAATCTGAAATTCAGAAGAAATCACGGTGCTGCAGAGCAGTTCTCTTCTGTTTACCACAAATGGAGCTGCCTGGCCCGACCGAGAGCAGGGCCTGTCAGCCCCACACGTTGTAGGGAGACACTTACCACATGGACACACTCAATGTATTACATAAAAGGTCCACCCTAACTCTACGGGGGTTAAGATTTAAAAAACAAAACCAAACCAGTTCTTTGGTTCAAACAAGCCAGCTAAGTCACTGTGTAGATGTGAACTAAGGGAAAATCGTGGAATCACGACAGCTTCTGTGCATCTCGGGCTCAGGGAGAGAGGCCACGGAGGATATAAACAAGCTCCAGGGTCTACTGCTGCCTTTTTTTCTTTTCCTTCCGCTCCGTAGTAGATTCAGTGTGAAGGCAGTTGGCCATGACCTTCAGAACAGAAGGTGAAAGCCCAGGACAGGAGCCAAAAATCAAGAGTTTTACTGTTAGTTCCAGCTCTTCCTTTATATTCTGGAAAAAGAAACCCCTGCAAGGCGGCCAGCATACTTTCTGTATTTATTGAATGTTTTTTTGTGCATGGTACCAATCTAAATAAAAATAATCACCCTGTATAGGTAAAATGTCTATCAAATGTGAGAAATTCTACAATGCCAAAGCCAAAAGGAACTCAGGGTTCATTTCCATTCCCTGTCTAAGAGTCACTACCCGAAGTTATTCTACTTTTGAGCTGTGGTGGCTAAATCCCTCCCTTGGCCCTCCTGTGAAATGTATAGCAGAAGTCAAAGACGTTCTAAAGTAAAGTTCTGATCTTTTGTTCAGATAGAATCACACCCCGCCTGGAAGCTCAATATACAAAACAGATAAAAGTGGAACTGTTCAGTTCCAAGCAGGGCAGATTGTGCGAGGGGGCTCCTGAGAACCCCTGGAAGCCCATCCACACGTGAAAACGACTGCTTTTAAAAGAAAGTCGCGTCAGTGCCCAGAGCAGAAAGAATAGGAGTGCAAAGGGCTTGCTTGGAAGTGTGCCGTGGGGCTTGGACACTCACGTTCATGAGTCTCTGGTTTTCACAGAAGAAAGCCACTTCTCGTGCCCTCTGGGTTATGGGGTCGCTCACAGAAAAGGAGAAGGGAGGGGTGGGGGGGTGTAAGAAGGTAGTTGGTGTTGAAGACCTAGCAAGTGCTTTTGTGTGTGTGTGTGTGTGTGTGGTGATGTCTTTATTTGCACTTGTGACTGCGCCGGATTTTAAGAGACACTGCCACTGCCTTCCGCTCCCCTGTGGGAATCCTGCAGACCCCAGAGAGGCATCACGTTAGGCTTAGGCGCCTACCAGAATCTGTGTGCTGGGAGCCTCTGCCGCGGCGAGAGCCCCAAGCCCTGACATCTATCTCTGGATGTCCCGACGGCGGAGCTAAACCAGACTGGGCTTCCCGCTGACCCTGAGACAACCCAAGTGACCGCTGTTTCTCTTCACTTTGCACTAGCAGAAACAAGAGAAGACCTCTGACCGGTCATCAATGCTGGAGATGGAGAAGCGGGTATGTGTGTGCTTCTCTCCCCGCCACCCCCCACCCCGGCCCCCGTTCCATCTGAGTCTCTCTCACTTTGTTGTTCATGCCAGTGGAAAAAGTTTGTCTTAAGAAGGCAGGAGTCCTGCCACATTCCATTCCCGGCTTGATAATAAATTCTTTTTGTGTGATTCTGGACAGCAATTTGATTACTAGTCCTTTTGGCTTCTTCAGATGGTCCGTACTTTTCACTTATTCCAGCCTTAGGGTGGGAAGGTCCTTGGAAGGTCACCCCATGCGCTGGTTGGGTGCATAGCAGACCTGCGCGCACACACGTGCCCAGGACCAAGGTCTCTTTACCCTTCCTGTCACCTTGAACAAAAAGGACATTTTCAGGAGGACCCTCTGCCGTTGATTTTGGGCTCCTGAGCTGAAATATGAGCCAGCAGAGTCTTCCACTCACTCTGACGGGGGGTGGTGAGGGGGCATTCTGGCTCAACTGCTGACCTCCCCCCGACTGCATTCAGAATATTTTTCTGGGATTTGACGTTCTTGGATTGGGAAAACTCAGATTTATTGATGAACCCTAGCTGCGATTTGACCCCAGAGGTTTAATATGTTCCCATCTCTCCTGTTTAATTTGGAAAGCAGCAAAGTTTTACATTTTATTTCCTTGGCCTGTAACAAAACCTCGTTGGTATCTCAGCTAATCAAGGAATCTCTGAGTTCAGACTAAATGAGGAGTCGGCTGCTGGAAGAGAGGGGGAGGGGGAGGGGTGCGGTTTCCTCCTAGATGATACTTCCCCACTCACCATCTGCTCCCCATCATGGTAGAAGCGGCTCCTTAGGAATTTGGGGGGACGATAAGGATGCCTCTTCCTAATACAGAGCAAGGGCCCTGGTCACTTGCAGTCATTTGAAATTCCATGAAATCTTCAGCTTGTGCAGAATGGCGATGGCCCAACCATTTGCTTATCTTCTAAATGTCTGATGGGAGATTTAGGTCATGTGATTTCTATCAGTGAAGTAGTTTCATCACACAGATCCGAGCGCTCAGTCCCCTGCATGAGGTTTGCCTGAGACGTGACGCTGCTGATCACATGGCACCTGGGAAGCAGCATTTTGACTCCCCTCTAAACCCAGTAGATGTTCAACAGTCTCATTGTTTCTAAACAGGAGAGGCGAGCCTTGGAGCGGAAAATGTCAGAAATGGAAGAGGAGATGAAGGTATGGAGAGATCTCCGTCCTCTCTGTGTGCGCCCATTCTCCAGGTGCCTGCCAGGGCTGGGTGACTGAGCGTAGGCCCACCCTTCCGGGTCTCCCCACACACTCAGCCCCCTCAAGAAGCGATGTGTGAAGAGGAGCTGAGCCTCTCTCCTCAGCCATTTCACAAGCGCTCTCAGATCACACAGCGTCCCCTGTGGGCACCCCACCGCCCTTCTGGGAACCAGTGCTGCCTCTGGTTTCAGGGGAGGTGTCTGGCTGACCTGAGACAAACCTGGGTTGAACTTCTAAGATTCTCTCTTTTTTTTTTTAAAGATTTTATTTATTTATTCATAGAGACACAAAGAGAGAGAGCGAGAGAGAGAGAGAGACAGAGGCACAGGCAGAGGGAGAAGCAGGGTCCATGCAGGGAGCCCGACGTGGGACTCGATCCCGGGACCCGGGGTCACGACCTGAGCAGAAGGCAGACGCTCAACCGCTGAGCCACCCGGGGATCCCAAACTTCTAAGATTCTCTAAGCAAGAGCTTTGCCCCCAGGGGCTGGATGAAAAGGCTAAAACAAGGTTGCCCCCTCTGCAGGCCTCCCATTAGGCGCCTGGGGAAGCCTGAACATGGCCAGAGACCTTCCTGCCGGGTGCACCTCCCTGTCTCAGCCCCTCGCCGGAAGGGCTGTTTGAGTCATTCTGCAGCAGATTGCAGATTGGTTCACACGTCGGTTTCCTGCCCCGGTCCATTTCCCCAGAAGTCCGCAGTAATACTCAGCATTCGCCCACTAGAATGAGCTCAGGGCTCGTGCCTCCAGTTACACTCCATGGCTCACTGCTTTCCTCTCCTGCACCGTGACCGGCCCGCAGTGACCACCATCTCCATTAGCCGCTGTAACGAACAGCCGCCACCCTGCGCAGCTTTGAGTGCTAAGACTGACAGTCCTCCCAGAAGAGTCAGTTCCCTGCTGCGGAAGGGGCATGCGAGCGGCAGGGAGTGTAGAGCTGCCCGGGTAGCCACCTGGATGGGATTCGGGAGCACCTGAGCCCTGCAAGTGCATGACGCCACACACCCGTAATCACCTAGGGCTTTTGCTGGGCCTTGGCTTTTTTTTTTTTTTCCTTCAAGGATCTTATTTTACCAGATGTCTGTTACAAAGCATTCATCTGGCGAAACTCAGGTTTCTTTGCCTGGGAACCAGAGCACTGGGGTAGTATGAGGCAGATCCCAGGTCTCCTGTGAGCAAGCATCCGTAATATGCAATCGGAGCACATTAGGAGAGACGTTTATTACAATGGCCAAAAAAATTCGGTTATTTACTGGAAAAAAAAAAATCTTTCTCAGGACCTGACAAGGCCCCAATTTACACAAGATCCAGCACTCATAGTGGATCTTCTCGTAGTCCTGTTACTCTTTATAATTCCAGAACAAGGGAGATGTGCCCTGCTCTTGAGGTCTTACAGTCACGGTTCCAAGGCTGTAACTGATCATAACTGATCACATCCACATAGAATTTCGAGTAAGACCTACTTATATCTCCAGAAAGCGGCACTTACTTCTTTGAAGTCGATGTAAGATAGCAAGAGGTCCAAATAACAAATGGTTGATTCTCCTGCAGTGACGACCTCCCCCTTAGCGTCTCCGTCTTCTGCTCCTTCCAGACCCACCTGGCCTACCACACAGGTGTTCGCTCCCACGTAGAGCAGTGTGCTAGCAGCGCTAAGCAGTTGTTGATGAATGAATCTCCACTGCTCTTGGTTGTTGCACTGGGGGTTTCCTCCATTTTTGAAACCCCCTGAGTGGTGCCATCTGTACTCTGCTGTGAGGCAGCTGTCAGTGATGCTCATGAAGGAATAGCCTGCATGCTGATCAGGAGCGTGTCAGTGAGGCCAAAGCTGGTGCCTTCTAATGAGTACCCAGGACCCCAAAGCCAGCCCAGACCCACTGGTCGTGGACCTCTGCACCACGTCCACCCAGGCCCACGCACAAGACCCAGAAAGTCCCCAAATGGAGCAGTTGAGGTCCTTCTGTCCTCCTATCCCAACCCTAAATTACCGGGCATGAGAGCCCCTTCCCGGGTTCTAGTGGCTCCCAGTCCTATGGTTTGAGACGGGCTTACGTATTTTTCTCTCCCTACCCTATGAGGTTGTCATTTCCTAAACTAGGTCACGACTTCCTTTCTTTCCTCAGTAGAGAGCACAGTACATGAAGGTGTTTGCTCTCTCAGCCTTAAGTCATTTGCCAGCCAACTTCAAATTCAGTTGTTTAAATTATCAAATGGAACCAGATCCTGAGTGTTTAGACCTCAAAAAACAGGTACACCAATTTGAAGCTGTTTTTGTTTTTGTAGTTAAAAAATGGACCCATTCGGTCCGTTGCCGTTGTTCTCCATCACCAACTGCAAAGCCACATGCAGAAGAAGCACCTGCAAGTCCTAAAGCCCCTAAACGCCCTTTGCTCAGAGCAAAGCCCAACACGAGGTTTCCGCATCGTCCAGCTCCCCTAGAGGGGAGGGGGCAGGAACACCACGCGGCTCAGCCAGCACCTTGAGATAGGCAGAAACTCCCCATATGTAGACACAAACATCATGAAGCTGCTGTCGCTGGCCTCCAAGGAGCCTCGTAAGCCACTTGGGTAGCCTTCGGGCCTTCCCCGGGGCCACAGCTGACGGTAATGAACATCTTGGGACTGGTCAGGGGTCAAAATCTGTGCTGTAGGCAGCCAGGCCACCTGGGACCCAGCAGAGCCGCGGGCCGGTTAGCCCCTGGCCTGTTGCCTGTTTGGTTTATACAGACGCTCAGACCTCTGGGGCAGTCAGTAGGGAGCAGGTCCTCCAGGGACCCCCGAAGATGCGGTAGGTGCTGGAGGACACAACGTGACTCTGGCGCCTGTTCTTGTGACTCTGGCGAATACAGTGCCAGAGCCAGGTTAAATGGGGACCATGCGTCGGGCTCCCCCAGACGTACCGGGGCTCTGTGCTTGTGACATGGGCGGTGCCTCCCTGGCCTTACCTGAAGGGTAAGTATTTCTGAGCTCTGCCCAGGACAGACTGCGCTCGGATCCTGGACTGCAGTGGGATTCCGTGCCAGCCCCTGACAGCTGTGCATGTCAGCGTGAGCCGTGCGCCGCTGCTCTGGGGCTTGCCCACCTCCGACCTGACGGCATTCCTGCTGCACCCTCCATTCAGCCTCGGCCTCCTTCCCAGACCCTCGCCCTCCCTCTCCCGGGTCCTTGCATGAGGGGCCCAGCAGCCACTCCCCTTTTAGGTTGGTCTTGGAATTTTTATTTTTACTTACTCTGGAAATACCACCAGCTGATCCTGCCCTCGCCCACCTTGCCCTGTGCCCTGCCCTCCCCTCCATCTCCTTCCCGTGCCTTGTTTCCAGTTCTGTTCCCTACGGAACATTCCACCAGATGGTTTCCTGCCTCTCTCCCTCATGCTGTTAGCTTCCAGATTCTTCCACCTCGATCTGCTTGTACTCACATGTTAGATGGAATCATTTTCATAGTCTGTGTCATTAACGATATTCCCTGGGAGGCAAGGACCACTCCATATAATGACAATGATTATGTTGAAAGCTTTGGTCCAACGTCAACACCAAAGAAGGGTGAGAGCCAGGGACTTTCCGTTGGTTCTTACGTTTGTTCCCTGCCCATTTCTTTAAATATTCCCATATGCTGCACCATGATCTCCTCTGATCCCAGTCCTCTCCATGGATGAGATGCTTGCAGAGGGTAAAGGGCATTGCCTGGCCCCTGCCCTTCAATGGCTGCTCTACCTTTTTCCCAAGGTGCTCATTCTCCCTCTTTGGGGAAAGAGAGATTCAGCAGTTTGTCTCTGCTTGTTTTTCGTTTTCACTGTTTTTTCCCCTTCATGCTGCCTTTCATTTTCTTGCTTCTTCACTTCCAACTATAACCCACTAATCCTTCATTTCTATCCCTCACATCCGTGTGGGTTATGAGAGGCTTCTCTCTGGTTTGTCGTCACTGTAATCCACAGGATTTTTCATCTTCCTCTATGAAGCCCCATTTGCATAATAAAATCATTTCCTCCCCCAAAGAGCTGATGGTCTTGGTTATGGGGTCAGTACAGATGACCCCTTAGGCAAGGACAAATAACAGTAGGCAGGCCGGGGCTACAATGCCGTTTAGTGAAGTCGTTAAGGTCCTTTATGGGCTACAAGGTTATTAGGAACAGTGTCTGTGGGCTGTTCTGTTCCATCGGTAATACTTAGAGATAGTGAGGTCTGAACTAGTACATCACTCTAACCAATTCCATTATCTTGGACATTTATGATTTCTCCAACTTCAGTGCACAGCTGTAATTTTCAGAGTAGGAGTGTGTATGTTGTAAACAGCTGCCAGCCTGTTCATGAGCTGCGACAAAGAGCGCAGGTTAGCCGTGAACTCCGTGATGCACGTAGTCATGCAGCGGGTCAAAGGCGAGGTAGCAGTTCTTGGATCTTGGAACAAGCCTCTGGACTGCAGAGGAGAACCAGCAGGGTCAGCGAAGCATCATCCTACCAAACAGGTCAGAGCACCGTGCAGACAGCTGCCAGCGTCTTGTCTCCGTAGGTGCCACTTGAACCTTCTAAACAGTGCATGCCTCGTACAGGTGCTTAAACGACAGGCCCCTCCTTTGTTTTCCTTGTTTTATTTATTTATTTATTTATTTATTTATTTATTTATTTATTTATTTATTTATTTATTTATTTATTTGTTTGTTTTGAATAAGAAATAAAAGAAGGACCCAGAAATAAAAAGAAAACACAAGTAGGAGTAGGGGGCCCAGTATGGGGACGAGAGGAGAGGAGGGAGAAAGGAAAGGGCCTCAGCTGGATTTAGGAACACGGAGTCCTCAACTCCAGGTCCACTGACGATGAAGAAGGGCCCCGAGGCTCGGGCTGCACCGCGCTGAATCAGCTCAGAAGGCCCCAAACCACGTGTGGACTAGGACTCTCAGAAGTGCTCCACATGCGCTGCTTGAGAGCCTCGTGGTGGTGTCCGCGTGGCCGACCTTCAGCCCCCCTAGACCTCAGCCGGGACGTAGGCCTGGCTCCCCCCTCGCTGGCGCATTCCTCCGTCCCTCCCCCTCCTGCACCATCACTCCTGCCTTTCTCATTTCCTTTCTCGCATGCGGACTAAAAACAAAAACAAAAGGTCACGTGATTTCTTTGTCCTACTTTGATCTCTTCTGGTCTGTCTTGTCTCTCTCTCTGTCTGTCTGTCCCCTCCATGTTTCACTCTCTACAGAACCTCCACCAGCTAAAACAGATTCAAACCCTGAAGCAGATGAACGAGCAACTGCAGGCTGAGAACAGGGCCCTGACTCGAGTTGTGGCCAGGCTCTCGGAGTCCGTCGAGTCCTCGGAAGCGCAGGAGCTCTAGTTCTTGCCCCTCCTCTCCACCTCACTTCCCTCCTCCGCCACTGCAGGCACGTTCACCCTTGTTGGGCCCAGAAGCCCTGTGCTCACCCCGCTCCACCAGAGCCGCCACACGCGGTGCCTATCCGTGTCGGGCATCTGCAGGTGGAAGGAGCCAGGACTGAGATCACGGATGGGACAGGACAGCCTAGGGCGACGAGGGCAGTGGGGGGTCCTTGCCTGGGCTCGTGGTCTGTTTGGTAAGAGCAACACGCGGCCTTCCCCCCCCCCCCGCAGACCGAAAATGGGTTTGCTCACGTGGCTACTCGGCTACACAGAGGTGTACACGTGTGAGCTCACACCTGTGTCTGCACGTTTCTTTGGTGGGGTCGTGGGTCGCTGAAGCGGTTGGGGTTGGTCCTGGACTCCAAATTGTTGTTGAGCCAGGGGTAACCAAGGGCAGGGGCTCTCAGCCCTGGCTGGGAGCTTGAAACATATGGTACCTGGGCGTACCCCCCCCCAACGCACGCCCCAAAATCAGTCGTCTGGGTTGGGACCCCGACATCAATAGTTTTTCAGACCTTCCCTGTTGATTCCTTTATAAAACCAGGGTTGGAAACGGCCCTTTGCCTACCAGACAGAGCTGAGCCCTCTGCATCCGACATGCTGGATGGGGCCGGTGGCGCAGAGGCCAGAGCTGCAGGCCAGCAAACGCTGTGCATCCCGCCGTCTGAGTAGAACTGGCTATTCTTTGCCTCCCTCCTGCAGTAATCTCTGCTTCCCCCCCGCCCCGTCCCCGGGAGGCATCGCTCGCATCCCCGTCACAAATCTCTGAGCCCTAGGGATGTGCCCCCGGACCCCCACCCCTCGCCCAGCCAGACGTTCCCTAGCGGAGGTGGCTTAGCAAGGGAGATGGCAGTCAGCGGAGCAGGGAGGCCGTTTATTTCAGCCGAGAGCTGCAGATATGTGTGGTCTGCAAGACAAGCTCGCAGGTAACTTGTTCTCCCATCACGATGCTGTGATGGGGTCGCCACTGCTGAGCGGCTTCACCCTCTGAAACGAGTCTTTAATTTTCAGCAGCGATCTAATTAGTCCTGACCAACGCCTGTTCTTTTCTGTGCCTATTTGCTTGTGCCTTCGGGGTCAGGGGCTGCCGGCTAATACCCACTAGATCTGAAGCCCCCAAATTACCGTAAGGGCTGAGCTAATCTCTGCTGTAGATGCCGTCACACACCAAGAAAACTGAAAGGGGAGCGATACATAGCCCGGCACCCAGCTGCTCCGGTCCCCGACGTGGTGCCGTGTTAGGGCCAAACTCCACGCTCCACAGTAAGCCTCAGGATCGTGGGGAGATTCGACAGGGGTGAACTAGGGACCCCAAAACAGATCTGCCATTTGTGTTTAGTTTCCATCTTTGTGCAAGATAGTCTAGGATACGGGGCAAAACTAGATCGTGTGCTTTCAGTAGTTAAGACCTACGGTGACAGTTGTCATTTATTAAGGCCTGTGCACGGAACTTTTTTTTTCCTTAAAGATTTTATGTATTTATTCCTGAGAGACCCAGAGAAAGGCACAGACACAGGCAGAGGGAGAAGCAGGCTCCATGCGGGGAGCCCGATGGGCACTCGATCCTGGGACCCCGGGGTCACGCCCTGGGCTGCAGGCAGCCGCTCCACCGCGGAGCCCCCCAGGGGTCCCTGCACGGTAGTTTATATGCTTTGGCCTCAGTCCCCAGAACAATCATTGTACCAGATGGAAAAAACGAGTTACAATTTAAGGAACCTGCCCGAGGTCACCGAGAGTCAGGGTGGACCCGAGGTTCACACAAGTATGCCAGGCTCCCGAGCCCTCGGCCCCGGGAGGGGAGCTGTCTGGTGTGTGGCGGAGCCCGGCCGCTTGTGGAGCGCGGGGCCCGAGCGCGGGGCCCGAGCGCGGGGCCCGAGCGCGGGGCGAGGGGTCCTGTTGGGCCGCGCTGTGCCCCGCCGTCGCCGCTGCGGCGCTCTCGGCCTCTTAGCAAGCCCCCAGCCACCTGCCAAAAGACTTTGCCACTGCGAAGAGGCCTTGACGCAGTACACGGCTCCTGTGGCGGACCCGCAGACAGGCCCCTCAGCCTGGCCCATGAGCCGTAGAAACAGGCGGGGGGCGGGATCAAGAGAATATCCCGTGACATGTGAAAATATATAGAATCGAACCTTGGTGTCCAGAAATAAAGTTTTACTGGAACCGAGCCCTGCTCACCTGTTTACATATTCTCCTTATGCCCTAAGTACCTTTGTGCCAGGAGCGGGGCTGGAGCTGGAGCAGACGCCTGCCTTGCTGACCCCGAGTCCCTGTTGGCGGGCCCCTCGCAGACACCCGTGCCACCCCCTGCCCGGGGGAGACGGTGGCTAGGCCGCCGGACGGTGTGCTCAGGGACTCTGTCCTGCCTCGTGGTTTGTGCTGGTCCCTGGGGATCCCCTAAGAGGTCGTCCTACCGGCGTGTGGCGCAAGCCCCTTGCCCCGGGTGTAAGCAGTGGGGCTCCCCACCCGCTCCCTGCCTTCGCCTCCGCCGCCCCAGCCGGCCTGGCCCCCCGGGCTCCTGGCCTGCAGCACAGCCCTGCCCCAGGCCGGCGGCGGTCACACTTGCCCAGGATGCCGTCCATCAAGCTGCCGTAACCTAGAAAGTCAGAAATTAAGAAAAGTCGGCCTCGGGGGCTGCCGCGGAGCCTGGTAAACCTCGTGCCCCTGCGGTGCCCCCGCCCGTGCCCCTGGTCAGGCTGGAGCCCCGCGTGTCACAGCACCTGGGCATCTCCTCTGTGGGGTCGGGTGTACGAGGCTTTCGCCCTTTGATTTGTGCATCGCGCTTGCTGTGCCCACACTCCCCCTCCGTGTGGGTGGTCATGCGCTGCGGCTGCCAAACCGCCTCGGCCAGTTGTGTTTTTTTTCCCAAAGCATCGAGTCCCTAACGTGAGATCACACCACGGCTCAGCGAGTCTGCGTTTCCGAAGCAGGGAGGGCTCAGCCGAGCTCCGATTCGATGAGCTGCAGCAGCCCCGGAAGGGCCCATAGGGCTCGGGGTGCCGCTCACGTGCACCCGGGGGAGCAGGGGGAGCAGCGCGGGGCGCCGCGTGTGCAGGTGGAAGGGCCCCCACCCCCCAGGCGCCCACCGCCGGGAAGCCCGCCGTCCCCGAGCTGCTGCTGTGGCCCCACGGCCCCCGGGAGCCGCCACAGGAGCTCTGGGCAGGAGCTCGGTGCATACATGGCCCGCCCGTGCCCCCAGCGCCCACCGGGTCCCTGGCCTCCCGGCTTCGGTGGTGGGCGCAGGGGTCCTGGTGCATCGTGTCACAGCCCGCGCATGGGGGCCCTGGGGCCTCGGCAGTCCCCCGTCGGCCCGGCGCTCCTTCCTCCGTCTCCTGCTGCATCCCCGCGGCTCCCGTGGGCTCCCGTGGGCTCCCCTACTCCGCGAGCTCAGGGCAGGAGTGACGGAGAGCCGCCCGCGGCCGGGGAGGACGGGAGACGCAGGGAGGGGCGTGCGGTACGAGGCCGAGGCCGAGCGTGCCCGTTGGCAGGCGGGGGGCCGTGGTCCCCCCAGTACGGACGGGCCGGCTCAGCAGGTGCAGGGGGGAGCCGCCCGGGAAGGGCTGCGGGGGTTCACGGCGCCGGCTGCCCCTGGCCCGGCTGGCCTGGGTGGGAGGGTGCGGGGCGCGGGCCAAGCTCTAACAGGCCTGTCCCCTGTCCCCTGTCCCCGCAGGTGTTAACAGAGCTGAAGTCCGACAACCAGAGGCTGAAAGATGAAAACGGAGCCCTCATCCGAGTCATCAGCAAACTATCCAAGTAGACCAGGCTCCCGAGAGGAGGCCCGGCAGCGCGGGCTGCTCTCCCCCGCGCTCCGGCCGCCGCCTTCCGGCCCCAAACGGTGAATGTTCTGGTGGAAGGACTCCCGCGCCCCCCTGCAGCCGCCTCCCCCGCGCACGTTCCTTCTGTGCTCTCGGTGCCTGTTCCGCCCGTGCCCCCCGCCCCCCAGCTCCAGCGTGGTCGTCGGAGCCGGCTGGAGAGGGCCTTGGGGCCAACACCGGGCTCGGCCGTGGACCCCGGCTTCCTGTTGCTCAGCTCCTTGCCCACCTTGGGTTGGGCCTGAACCTGTAGGCCTCAGCCCACCCAGTAGCCCACAGCCTTTTCCGCGGACCCCGCGTCCCTGGACTAGGGGAGTCTTACGGTGGCCCCTCCAGGACCTGCCCGGGACGCCAAGAGATCAGGATGTTGGCATAACCGCGGACCGGCCTCCGGAGCCGAGGTGACAGGGACTCCGCGGCTCTCAGGAGCCGACTTTGCTCCGGGGTTGCTGCTCTCTTTGTCGGCAGCCCAGCACCATCCCCGCCGTGTCTCGGTTCCGTGTCCCCACCCCACCCCGGCCCCCTCCCCAGGCTCCGATGACCTGGCTTCCTTCCTGCCTCGGTCCTTTCATCGTCCTCGCCATCACCCTCAGCCGCCGCCCCCCGCGGTGTTGGCCTAGGACGGAGCGTGTGACCCACTCGTCTGGCCACCGTGGAGCCTGTTCTCAGGCACCCGGGAGACCAGGCAAACTGCCTCGACGGCACCACCGGCCCTCGTGCTGCGAAGCCAGACCCCGGCAGCTGTCCGCCCCCGGTTCTCCTCGCCCACCCCTGGTCCCCAACCGCCCCCCTCGTGACCTTGTTCTCCCCTCTCCGCACCGGCACCTGCTCCTCCGGAGAAAGGAAGTCCTTGCGAGGAGGCCTGAGAGCTGGGCGGGAGGCTGGGTGGGAGGCCGACCCGGGCCACCAGCCCGTCGGGAGAGACAGATGCTGTCAGCAGGTGTCTGGGGACTCTGGCGGCTGCATCAGGGGACAGACCCCCGAGATGGTGGAGGGACGAGCTGCTTCCAGCCCGCTGATGGGGTCACAGCGTCTTAGAGCAGCGAGGCCCGGAGGTCGCTCGGGGGAGCTTCCCGTCGTCGGGTCGCAGGGACCCACACCTGCGGCGCGGCCACGGCTCTGCCCCACAGCCGGTGCTCCCGGTGGCTTCGTTCCTTGAAATGTGGGCAGGTCTGATAACCAGCAAGCTCCTCCCGGTACGAGCTGGGGTCTGCCCGCGGGGGCTCCGCTCGGCCCTTGGGTCACCTCCCCGTAACCTTCCTTTGGGCGGGTGCCTTCCGGGCCTTTAGGGCGCCCCTCGTGGCGTCCGCTCCTGCCGGTCCCACCTCGTCTGGCCTCCGCTGGACAGGAACAGCCAAGCCCAGGCGCGGCCAGCTCCTGCCTCGGCACAGGGCCAGGCGGCTGGCCGTGGGGGCGACCCCCTGCCGCCCCTTAACCTGTTGGTCCTTCATCGGCGTCTCCGCCCGGTCGGTTTCTCTGTAGTGCAGCTCGGGAACTCCTTGGCTGGGATATTCAGCGCTTGCAGGGCCCGTTCTCCGAACACATACTACCTCTGGCCATTTTTAATTTCTTTCCAGAAAACGTCAGTGTAGTTCTCCGCGGCCCGTCTGAAACATCGCATGCTCTTTAAACCAGAGGCTGTCATTCAGGATCCTAATCCCAGAATAGGAAATGTGTCCCCGCTGGCAAGGCCCCGCACGGCATTCTTCGTTCCCAAGCACTTCCCAGGGAAGCTACTACTGATTGGGGTTTTGCGTGCGCAGGGGAACGCTGTGGGCTCCGTTCTCGGCAAAAGCTAAGTCAGGGTAAAACACTTCCTCACGGCCACGGCACACGTCCCCTGGTTTTGGGGGGCGGGGGGGAGACCAATACAAGGTGTCGGCGAGGTGATGGGCCCGGCGCACCCCGGGCACTGGGCAGGGCTTGGGCGTGGTTGCTGCGTCTTCCTCAGGGACGGAGAGCATCTCGCCCTCTTCACCGGGCAGCCTGGGCCCGGCTTCCCGAGGGCCCCTCCTCTGCTGGTGCCTCCCTCGCAAGAGCGTGGGACGGGATCTTGAAACTCTGAGGTTGGTGTTAGGCCCCGCTACTGCACGCAGCCCTTGCACATCAAAGATGCCTTTTCTTGCCAGAAAGTTCTCCTTGTGATGAAACATTTAGAAGCATTTCGATCTCAGGAATATTGGTTTCTATGCCCAAGAAATCGTGAAAGTGTAAACCATCCTGGGTAATTTCAGACGCTCTGTTAAGGAATTGATTTTATTACACGGACACACTCAGCATCCCGGTCCCTTCCCAGGGGGTCGGACGCCCTTTCTTCACAGCTGCCCCAGGACTGCAGGTTAGAGACCAGCAGGAGGCCTCCCTTCTCTTGGGCTGTCGGCCTCTTCGGTGGCCACAGGTGCCCCGTCCTCGGCCTACTGGTCTGGATACCCGAGGGCACCCCAACCCCAGGGGCTCAAGCTGCGTGAATACGGCGGGTCTGGCCAACGGCCGGTGCTCGGCTGCGCCGCGGCGCCGTCAGAGTCTTTACGGGAAGTGCCACGATGGGGCAAGGAGGTTTCAGTACAACTTTCCATCCTCTCTTCTCGTGAATTTGATGGTTTTCGAAACCAAGCCACACCTTTGGGAGCAGCGGTTCGGCCATTCCAGAGACTCTGGCTGAAGTGTCCCCGCTTCGCTTCGCCTGTTTGTCTCCAGGGCTTGTTCTCCAGACGGCCCTGGGCCTTGAGGAGCGCTGCCCGGGCTGCGTCAGCTGCGACCGGCTCCCGCACGTCCTGGGGCGTCGCCTCTAAGGAGTCTGCGGCCCAGGCCTGCCCTGGGCCCCTCGGGGTGCTGAACCCCGTTGGGCGGTCTCGCTCGCTAGTCCCTGGGCCCTCCTGTCTTTTTCCATCAGCCGCAGGCCGCGTTCGCTTCTCTTCTGGGCCTTGCCGTCCCCCACCCCAGGTTGGAGGCCGGGGTGCATTTCTTGCTCTCCGAGGCCACTGAAGGGGGCCTCATCTCTGGATTGGATCATTTCACGTGCTTTCCCCCCCAAAACAAAACGTGCTTATTTGACGGTTCTGCTCAGGAACACAAGGCTGAAGGCACCAGCCAGCCTGTGGATCCCACAGGATGTGGGTCAACCCGTTTTGCCATCAAGGGCTTTTAATGGAGTCAGAAGCAGCCCCGCCCTTGGTTTGGTCTTGGGATTTCTGGCCAAGGAACCCGCCCGCAGCCAGCCGTTCGTTCACCCCGCCTCCCTCCTGGGGACACGGGCACCCCTCGGGGCGGCGAGGTGCGAGGTGTGAGGGGAGAGGCCGGAGTCGGTGCTTCAGCTTCCAGGCTGCTTTGCCCCCCAGAGCCCAGCCGAGGATTCAGCAGCTGAGCCACCGGGAGGAGTCGTCCCGGGGCCTCCCCTGGGTGAGCCACCGGCCCCCCTGGGGCAAGCTGCGAGGTGGCGCCCCAGCCCCACACCTGCTGTGTGGTCGTCAGGCCCAGTCATGGTGCGGGTCCCGGTCCCCACACTGGTGTTGGTGGGGAGGCAGCGCGGGGGGACAAGCCCCCCGGAGTCAGAACCAGCAGCCGGGTGCCGGGCAGCCCTGCGGGCCCCACAGTCCCCTTCCCGGTGTGCACAGCGCACTTGGACCCCATAGCCCTTAGGGTCCCTTCTCAGCTTAAAATTCCGGTGTTTAGTTACTCCTAGGACGATTAGGACATTTCACGAACTCCGAATTCTTGCTCTTTCTAACGGCGGAAAACCTTGTTTTCTTCTGGATTCTGTGACATGGGCAGGGCCGGTTGCCGTCCCGGCCTTGCTGCAGAGCGGACCTGACGCCAGGGTGACTGACTGGCTGGCGGCCCGGTGGCTTTGCGGCCTGGGGGGGGGGGGGCGGCCCCTGCCTCTCTGGGGTCACCAGGGTCGCCTCCGTCCAACCCTCGGCGGCAGGCGGGCGGGTCCTCGGGGCAGCTGCGGCCTGGAGTCCTGCGCGGCTCCCCGGCTGCCCACCCGCAGCGCCCCCGGCCGCCCCGTCGAGCTCCCCTGGGTGCACAGCCGCCTGCACCCACCCGGCGGGAGCTCGGGGCCCTCGGAGGTGCCCGCAGCGGCCCCGCCACCTGCCACCTGCCACCTGCCATAGGAGGCCCCGGGCGGGGCGGGGGCGCCTGTCAGGCCCCGGGTCTCCCCTCCCCCCTCCCCCTCCCCCCCCCCCCCCCCGCAGCCGAAGCGCCCGTGTGACTCCTGGGCCGACGTGTGGATCCACTTGTTGTAAATACACGGGGGGGGGGGGGGCAGGTCCGCTTGTGAACCGAATGTATTTTATGTATTTTATGTATTTTATGTATTTCGTGCGACTGAGTGGCCTTTCAACCGCCAGGCGCGATCCGCCGCGATGCCCCCGCGATGCCCCCGGATGCCCCCGCGCCGGCCGTAGTGTCCCTGCCCGCGTTCGCGAGTTGGAGTAAGGACGGTCACACCTGCGGCGCCTCCGGACACAACCGTGTTTATAAACGAGCGAATAAACCGTGTTTTGACTTTGTGGCTGCGCCTCCGCGGCTCGGGAGCTGGGCTCGCCGGCGTCCGCGGGCCCCGGGGCGGGCGGGGGTCGGCGGGGCTCGGGCCTGGGGCCACCCCGCAGCCGGCCGCGGGGAGTCGGGGGGAGGGGCGCTGCGCAGGGAGGGGCCGGGCGGCTGCGGGTGTGGGGGCCTCGGGGTCCAGGCGCCCCTCGGTCGCCGGCGGCAGCTGCTCGCGGCCCCGCAGCCACGGGAGGAGCCAGGCCGCAGGCCCCAGGGCGGCCCAGCCCGGACGCGGGTGAACCCGGGTGAACCCAGGCTCGGAGCCGCCGCCCCACCTGCCCCCACCTGCCGGGGAGCTCGGGGAGCTCGCGCGGGGTCCCGCCCGGCCCGCGACACCGGAGGAGCCCCGGGAGCGCCTCCTCCCCCGCCCCGGGCGGCGGCCTACACCGTGCCTACACCGTGTCTACACCGCCGGCCTACACCGTGTCTACACCGCCGGCCGCGGCCCGACCACCTGCTCACGGGAGCCCCGTCCCAGGGCGTGACCCCGGGGCCCGGATCGAGCCCGCCTCGGGGTCCCCGCGGGGAGCCGGCCTCGCCCTCTCTCCGGGCCTCTTACAAATAAATAAATAAAATCTTAAAAAAAAATAAAATAAAATAAAACCAATGACAGCAGGACCTGAGTGAGGTCAGCTCGGGAAGGACGCGGAGGTCGGGGCGCAGAAGGGGAGGGGGGCGGTTCCCGGGAGGCGCCCCTGGAGACCGGCCGCGGCGCCTGCCCTCGGATCCCGGGTCCGCCTGTGGATAAACCTCCCGTTTGGGCGGGAAACCGGCGTCGCCCGAGCTCGGCCCAGCTGGGGAGCCCGGCACCGGCCTGCAGCCCCCCACCCCCTCACCCGCCCCGCCCCTGCCCGCGTCCCCCCAGATTCTGAGGCTTCGTCCTCCGCCCCGACCGAAGCTCTTCGCAGGGGGAACCGGGACCTTGTGGACACGGCCCGGCCAGCGGGAACGGAGTCAAGGACCCGGGCCCCCCACGACCCCCAAAGCCCCGTCCGAGTGCTTCGCCTAGAAGGGAGCCCCGCGGCCCGGGGACTCTTCCCTGAGCAAGACGCTGGGCCCCAGGCCCTCGGACCCCCCCGCCCACCTTGCACACCCTAAGGATCCCCCACCCACGTTGCACACCCTCAGGGCCTCCCACCATGCACCTTGCACACCCTCGGACCCCCCCCCCCGCCCACTTTGCACACCTTCAGGATCCCCGCTCACCTTGCACACCCTCAGAACCCCCCACCCTGCACCTTGCACACCCTCAGAACCCCCCACCCTGCACCTTGCACACCCTCAGAACCCCCCGCCATGAACCTTGCACACTCAGAACCCCCCACCCTGCACCTTGCACACTCAGGACCCCCCACCCTGCACCTTGCACACTCAGGACCCCCCACCCTGCACCTTGCACACTCAGGACCCCCCACCCTGCACCTTGCACACTCAGGACCCCCGCCCACCTTGCACCTTGCACACCCTCGGACCCCCCCGCCCCCCCCCCGCCCCGCAAGCCCAGCAGAAACTGGAGACACGCGGCCCCCAGGCTTCTCTCAGCTCATTTCTTTAATAAGGAGACGCAGCTCGTTACAAAATAACAGGTGGACGAGACAGGAGACAAGAACGAGAGCCCACGGGGGGGGGGGGCGCCGGGCGGGGCGGGCGGGGCCGCGCGTCCTTCCTCCGGCGACCACGGCGGGTCCCGTGGGGCCGCCCCGCCGGGTCTCGAAGCTTCCAGGCCCCGGGGTCGGGGGCGGCCGGTGGGTCCTTCGGGGCGGAGGCGTCCGCGGCCCGGCGTCCTGGAGGGGCGGCCGCGCCCCGTGCTGCCCCCGCTCGGCCCGGGCGGAGGGCGGAGGGCGGAGGGCGGCGCCGGGCCTGGGCTCCGCGTCCAGGGTCCCCAGAGTCCCGACCGGGCCCGTGTCCCCCGCAGGCGCCCCTCGACCGTCGCACCCCGGCGCGGGGCTGGGAGCGGGAGGGTGACGGCGGGTGAGCCCTTCACGAGTGGGGGCCGGTCGGGGCACGGGGCGCTCCCCTGGCGGGAGCCCCTCTATGGCTTTTCAGTTAGTTCCCGGGGGTCGGGGCAGGGCGCAGGGCGCAGGGCGCAGGGCGCAGCGCACAGGGCGCCCCCCGGGCCCCGACGCCGGGCGGGACGCAGCGCAGGTGCGGGCGGTGGGGACGGGCCTCCGGGGCGCCGGGTCCGCGAGGGCGGGGCGGACACGGGGCCCCGGCGGGGCGACACGGGGGCTCGGGCTTCGGGGGCCTCGGGGGCACCGGGCATGCGGCGGATCTACAGGAGGCGGAGACATGCAGGCGAGTGAGGAGCCCGGAGGTCCCGGGGGCGACCTTGGGTCACAAACCGGATGCAGGGGTGGGGGTGAGGCTCCCATGGCTTCGGAAGGTTCTTGTTTTGTTGTCACTTAAAAAATAAACTATATTCGCGTGTCTTCAAGTCACAGTGTCCCCTTCTCAGTGTTACAGCTCGAAAAGCAGGTTAAGACCCTCGGTGACCAGGGTCTGGCCCCGGACCGGGCAGGGCCGCAGGGCGGGCGCACAGCAACCAGGACGCCCCGGACTCGGCTGTCACAGGGACGACCCGCCCTGCCCCCTACGCCCGGCGGGGACCGCGACCCACTCGGCCGGGAGTCCTTTGCTGCTTCTCCCAAATGCCACCCGACCCGGCATCCTCCAGGCGGGCGAGCCAAGGCGGGCAACCGTCGTGGGGTCCGGGCCTCCTCCCTGCCCGCCACCAGCCGAGGCCCCCAGGAGGGCCGCGAGCAGCCCCGCGAGGAGGGGCGGGGAGGGGACAGATGCAGGGGAGAGGGCGTAGGTGCAGGGGGGAGGGCGCAGGTGCAGGGGGGAGGGGGCAGGGCGGGGGGGCAGGTGCAGGGCGGCAGGCGGTGGGGGGAAGGGGCAGGTGCGGGGGGAGGGGACAGGTGCAGCGGAGAGGGAGCAGGTGCAGGGGGGAGGCGGCAGGGCGGGGGGGCAGGTGCAGGGCGGCGGGCGGTGGGGGGGAGGGGGCAGGTGCAGGGCGGCAGACGGGGGGGAGGGGTGCATGAGGCCACGCATCAGCACACAGCACGGCCACCCGGACTCTCCGTCCCACCCGCGACCCGGGGCTTCTCGGCCTCTCTGCTCACCCACCCGCACCCCTGCACGCAGCCCGGGCGCTCGGGAGCTGGCTTCACCCACGGGGGGCCGCTGCCACCGCCCCTATGGCGCCGGGAGCCCAGGGCCAGCCGCCCGGGCCCCCTGATTCCGCGGGGGCAGTGGGCAGGTTCCTGGGCCGAGGGGGACCCCCGCCGCCCCTGCGCCCGCCCCCCGCCCCCCCTCGGCTCCCGCCCCGCGCGCAGCCTGCCCCGGGCTCCCCAGCAGCTCCGAAGGGCCCCGCGCGGCCGCCAGGCTCAGGACGCCCGCGGCCAGGGTGACCTCGCCCTCGGCTGCGGAAAACCCACGAGCCGGGGCGCTGCCCGCCGCGTTCACGGGGCCCAGGCGGGTGCGGCCGCGCAGAGCAGCATCTCGGGCGGCGGAACGCGCGGGGCGCAAAGGGAGGGCGAGGGCTCCGCGGGGCCTGGGCACAAGGTCGGTGGGGAAGGCGCGGAGACGCCCCGAGACCCGCAGCTCTGGGGCTGGGCGAGGAGTCCCCGCACCCGAAGCGCGCCCCCCGCGGCCCCCGCGGCCCCCACGGCCCCCGCGGGCGCGACTCTGGGCTCGGCACGGACCCAGCTGAGCTCCCCGGGGCCGGGCGGGAGGCGAAGGGCGGCTGCGGGGCGCGGGGGGTCGGGTGCAGGGCAGCTGCGGGGCGCAGGCGCAGGGGGCGCGGGGCGGCTCCGGGGCGCGGGGGGTCGGGTGCGGGGCGGCTGCGGGGCGCGGGGCGGCTGCGGGGCGCGGGGGGTCGGGTGCAGGGCGGCTGCGGGGCGCAGGCGCAGGGGGCGCGGGGCGGCTGCGGGGCGCGGGGGTCAGGGCTCAGGACGACTCCGGGGCCGGGACGCCGGGTGCGGGGCGGCTGCGGGGCGCAGGGGGCAGGCGCAGGGGGCGCAAGGTGGCTCCGGGGCGCGGGGCCCTGGCTCGCCCGCCTGCCTCCTGCCGGGCTCCGCGTGGGGGGAGGCTCGGTGCACGCGGGACTCCGCCCATATGGCTTTTTACCGGGGCCGGGCCGGGGGGGGGGGGGGCGGCGGGGGGAACCCGAGTGGCGGGGCCGGGCCCAGCGGGTGCAGCCGCCGCCGGGCCCGTCCTGCTTCTCGGCGCCTACGACGCGGGCCTCCCCGGGTTGGGCCAGGGCTCGGCAGCCCCCCGGGCCGCAGGGCGGCGGGGGTCACGCGCACCTTCCTCGAGGCGCGGCCCCGGGCGACGACGGCGCGGACGGCGGGAAGAGAAGCGCAAGCGCGGTGGGCGGAGGCGGGCACGAGAGCGAGGCCTGGAGGCGACCACGTGCCCCCGAGGCCCGGGGGCGGGGCGGGGGCGGGGCGGGGGCGGGGCCTCGGCGTCGGGCTCCTCGAGCACGCGGGCCCTGCACCCGCGCATGCGCCGGGCCGCTCAGCGCCGGAAGCGGAAGCGCGGGAAGGCGGGCGGGGGCGGGGCGGGGCGGGGCGGGGCGGTGTGGCGGGAGCCGCGGCGGCGGGCGGCGGGGCCGCCCCTACTTGTTCTTGCCCAGCAGCGCGTCCACCTCCTCCTCGGGCTTGAGCGAGTGCCACTGCGCGATGGGCCGCCGCGGGTTGGCCAGCATGTCGGACCAGTGCCGCAGCTCCGTGCCCGTGGCGTTGCTGCCCACGAAGATCTTGCCGATGGCCTCGTTCTTGCCCAGCTTGTCGTAGTCCAGCACCGTCACCACCACCTGCACTTTCTGCGGGGACGGACGGGGTCAGACGGGCCCGGCCCGGGGACCCCGCCCCCCGCGGCCCCCCCGCGGGCCCCCCCCCCCGCAGGCGCGGCGGTGACGGTGACGCTCGGGCAGGCGCGGCGGTGACGGTGACGCACGGGCATGCGCGCAGGCTCACGCGCACGTGACACGGGCCCCGCCCTCGCTGCCGCTCACGTGCGCCGTTTAAGGGACAAAACAGGGTCGCGGGAGGCAGACAGAGGGCAGGAGACCGCGAGTCCCAGCAAGACTGGCGGGCCCCGGGGGCGGGGCGCTGCGGGACGGGCGGTGGGGGCGCGTGACGTCACGAGCACCGGGTGTGACGTAACACGTGGCGGACCGCGCACCTCTGCCTCCGGAACCACTGATATTACTACAAGGTGATTATTTGAATTCAAACAAAAAAATACATAAAAAGTGAAAATGAAATGTCTTTAAAAGGCGATGCTAGGGGCGCCCGGGGGCTCAGCGGGTGGGCGCCTGCCCCCCGCCCAGGGCGCAGCCCCGCGTCCCGGGATCGAGCCCCGCGTCGGGCCCCGCAGGAGCCTGCCTCTGCCCCGCCGGCGTCCCCGCCTCTCTCTGCGTCTCTCATGAATCAATTTTTAAAATCTTAGAAAAACGAGCCGTTCGGCCGAGGTAAGCGCGAGGGCCTGCGGGGACGCACGCAGACCGGCGACAGCGGGCTCAGGGCGCTGCGGGCAGCTCCGCAGGGGCCGGGGAGGGGGCGGGGCCGACGCACGGACGCCGCGGGCAGCCAGCGGGGCGGAGGCGGGGAGGCTGCGTGGCCCGTCAGGAACAGAACCCTGGCGGGAGGGGGGCTCCCGGAGGGGGGCTGGGGCAGCGGGAATGGGGTGCGGGGCGCCGGACAGGACCTGGGGCCTCCCCTCCCCCCACGGCTCCTGCCACCTGCTGGGACCAGGCTTGCTCCGGAAGCCTCGCTGCGGGGCGGCCGCCCCCTGCACCTGCACGCCGACGCCCTAACCTCCCGGGCGCCCCGACCTGCACCTGCTCCCCCTGCACCTGCACACCAATGTCCTCACCTCACGGGCGCCCCGACCTGCACCTGCTCCCCCTGCACCTACACGCCGACGCCCTCACCTCCCGGGCGGCCCGACATGCACCTGCTCCCCCTGCACCTACACGCCGACGCCCTCGCCTCCCGGGCGGCCCGACATGCACCTGCTCCCCTGCACGCCGACGCCCTCGCCTCCCGGGAGCCCCGACCTGCACCTGCTCCCCCTGCACCTGCACGCCGACGCCCTCACCTCCCGGGCGCCCCGACCTGCACCTGCTCCCCCTGCACCTGCACACCAATGTCCTCACCTCACGGGCGCCCCGACCTGCACCTGCTCCCCCTGCACCTACACGCCGACGCCCTCACCTCCCGGGCGGCCCGACATGCACCTGCTCCCCCTGCACCTACACGCCGACGCCCTCGCCTCCCGGGCGGCCCGACATGCACCTGCTCCCCTGCACGCCGACGCCCTCGCCTCCCGGGAGCCCCGACCTGCACCTGCTCCCCCTGCACCTGCACGCCGACGCCCTCACCTCCCGGGCGCCCCGACCTGCACCTGCTCCCCCTGCACCTGCACACCAATGTCCTCACCTCACGGGCGCCCCGACCTGCACCTGCTCCCCCTGCACTTGCACGCCGACGACCTCACCTCCCGGCCCCCAACCTGCACCTGCTCCCCCTGCACCTACACGCCGACGCCCTCACCTCCCGGGCGGCCCGACCTGCACCTGCTCCCCTGCACGCCGACGCCCTCGCCTCCCGGGAGCCCCGACCTGCACCTGCTCCCCCTGCACCTGCACGCCGACGCCCTCACCTCCCGGGCGCCCCGACCTGCACCTGCTCCCCCTGCACCTGCACGCCGACCTGCACCTGCTCCCCCTGCACCTGCACGCCGACGCCCTCACCTCCCGGGCGCCCCGACCTGCACCTGCTCCCCCTGCACCTGCACGCCGACGCCCTCACCTCCCCAGCGGCCCGACCTGCACCTGCTCCCCCTGCACCTGCACGACGACCTGCACCTGCTCCCCCTGCACCTGCACGCCGAGCCCTCACCCTCCCGGGCGCCCCGACCTGCACCTGCTCCCCCTGCACCTGCACGCCGACGCCCTCACCTCCCGGGCGCCCCGACCTGCACCTGCTCCCCCTGCACGCCGACGTCCCCACCTCCCGGGCGCCCCGACCTGCACCTGCTCCCCCCCGGGGTCCTTCACAAGGGCCGTGTCTTGGACACACGTGTGTCTCCAGCACCCCGCAGCATCCTGGCACATGGGGAATGCTCAGCAAAGAGTGTTGGACACACGAGGGGGAAAAGAAAGGGCGGGCGCCTGGGGCGATGCCGATGCCCCGTCTCTCCCTCGGGAACAGAAGGCAGAGGACAGAGGCTGCGCAGACGCCGCCCGGGGAGATCGGTCTACGGGTTTGGGGCACACGGTGGCTGGGAAACCCCTGGGCCGCTGCGCTGCCATCAACCGTTAAGTGGGGGAACGGCCCAGGCGGGCAGTAACTGGACCGGAGGAGCAGGAGGGGAGGGGTTCCCGCCGCCCCCCCCCCAGCACCTGGATCTGCTCGAAGGGGATCTCGAAGCTGAAGGACTCGTTGAAGTAGGGGTTCAGAGTCTTCTTCTTGACCGTCGTCTTCTTCTTCTTGAGCCTCTTGCCGTTCTGCATCAGGTGGATCTTCACGTAGGGGTCTGCGGAGAAGCCCCGCCCCAGAGCCTCCTTAGCCCGCGCCCCCACCTCCCCCTGCACCCCACCCCCAGCAGAATCGGAGGCAGCAGGAAGGTTCCAGCTGGAGGACCGGGGCGGGGTGGGGGGCGGTGAGGGCTGCCTGGGGCTCAGGCTCTAGCGGTGACCCCGTGCCGCCATCCCAGGTGGGGGCAGAGGGGGCTCGCACACGCGGCCATGCCCCCACCCACCTCCCCACCTCGCGGGTGAGAAACTGAGGCCTGCAGAAGGTCGGGGAGTGAGCGGCCCTGGGCGAGCGGGGTGTGTGTGCAGTGCAGCGGGGTGGGGGTGAGTGAGGGGGGTGACAAGCCCGGGTGACCTGGCCGGGCTGGCCGCAGGACTGCCAGGGGAGCCCCCACCCCGGCCTGATGCCTAGGAAGGCGGCGGCATCCCCCCCGCCCCCCGCGGGCAGGGCCTGTGCGGGACAAGTGTCCCCGGCTCTGGGCGGCACCCTGGGGCCCGGGAGGACTCACTAAGCCTCGTGGGGAGGGAGTTGCCTGTCCGGCCTCGCCAGGCTGCCGCAGCTCCCAGGGGCGGGCCTGGGGCCCAGGACAGCGGCCACCCCGTGGGAACCGAGGCCCGGCGCCTGGCTCGCCGGTGCCACCCCATGGCAGCCGCCAGGCCTGCAGGTACCTGAGAGGCCCCCCACGTCCATCTTCTTCAGGTTCTTGGCCTCCAGGATACAGACTGTGAGCTTCCCGGCCGTGGGCACGTAGCGCAGGGAGGTGCAGATGTCGCCCAGCTTCTCTGGCTGTGCCGGGAGAGCAGCGTCCCGGTCATCCGGGCCCCCCCCACCCCATGACCGCACCCCGGGGACGGCTCCCGCTCCCGCTCCCCGGCAGAGCGGTCGTCCCAGTACCCTGTCCCTCTCCTTGGGTTACTGTCACGGCGACGCCCTCCCGTGGATGGGTCAGGGCTCCTTGTGACCCCGAGACCTCCACAACGTCCCACAGCAAGGGCTCCGGGGGCAGGATGGGAACCCAGGGCTCCTGCTCCTAGGAGCTCTGCCAACATCACGCCCGGGTGAGCCTCTCGGGGGCGCAGGCCCGGCTTCCTCAGGGTGAGCGCCCGGTCAGCAAGGGGGTCCTGGGCGTCCCTTCCCCCCCCCAGCCTGGTACGCTGCTGGCCTCGCGGCCGGGCCTTGGCCAGACGAAGGACCGATGCCAGGAGGAGCAGGGGCTCCAGGGAGCATGTGGCATACGGCAGGTGCGCAGCCCGCGCCTGGTAAGCCGAGGATGCCGTAGCAGCTGCTGGGAGGACAAGCCCCCGTGCCGAGACACCTTTAAAATAAATGTGGGCTTGCCCTGTGGGTAAACTGAGGCACGAAGTGACAAGTCAGGGGCCCTCGGGGACAGCAGAACCGCAGCAGCACGACGGTGACACTGCTCCCCTAACGGGGGAGCCTCCTCGACGCCAGAGGCAGGCCAGACCGCGGGGGGCCCGGGCCCAGGGGGTCAGCCAGGTGCCCGGGGTCACACAGCGCGGCCGCGTCCCGCCCGCCCGCAGCCCCTCGGCGCTCGCCGCTCTCACCTCCTCCTTCTCGCCGCCCTGCAGGTCCCGCCACTCCTCGATGGGCTGGCCCAGGTCCACGGTGTTCATGGGCACCTTCACCTCGCCGATGATGTCGTGTTTGGAGAAGCGGTCGAAGTCGTAGATGGCCATCACCAGGGTTTTGCCCCCCAGCTCCTGGTAGGGCACCTGCGGGGCACAGCAGGCGGGGAAGGCCAGGGCCGCTGAGTCACACGCCGCGGGGCCGCCCGGCCGAGCCCTGTCCCCGCGAAGCCCCAGGACGGGCGGTGACGGGGCTCGGGGAGGCGGGGCGTGCGGAGGGGGGCGCCGTCCCCGGCTGCAGCCTGAGCCCCCGCCGCCCGCGAGGCCCCCGAGGGCGCCATCCTGCCCGCCTGCACCTTGAAGGTGAACGTCTCGTTGAAGGCGGGGTTCAGCGTCTTGCGGTGGACTTTGGTCTCGTACTTCTTCTTCTTGTCTGGAAGGAGGAAGACTTTGACGTAAGGGTCTGAGGTGCCCCCCATGTCCAGGGCCGGCAATTCAGCAGCTTGCAGGACGCCGACAGTGAGCTGCGGGGAGAGAGGACCGGGCCTGAGCCCCCCATCGCCCCCCTCACCCCCCCGGGGCCCACACACCAGCCCCCCAGCGGGGACAGGCCGCCGCAACCCAGGAACACCGGTCCCGTCCCCACCCCCGGATCCGGGTGACGTCGGGGAAGCGGGTTTGCCCAAGGTCGGCGGGGCGTTGACGACGGGGGCCCTGAACTGGGGACCCCTCTAGAGCGACGATGCCCGGGGCTCACGGGGGCACCCGGGGGCACACGCCTGTGGTCTCCAGCCCCGCCCACCCCGTGGAAGGGGGCGGCCTGGCCTGTGGGTGGGCTGCTTCTCGCGCTCCCTCCCTCCCCCCCCCCCACACCCCCAGCCGGCCCCCCTACCTGGTTGGCCTGGAAATCATAATCCAGGGAGAACTGCAGCTTGCCCAGGTTCTCCGGCTCCTTCTCCTCCTCTCCCTCGCCCTCTCCCTCCGTCAGGCCCGTCTCGGCATCATCGTCGTCCTGGGGGGGCTGGGCCAGACAAGGGGCGCTCAGGGCAGGACGGGGCCTGCCCAGGGGCCCCGCCCCGCGGCCCTCAGCCCCCCCGGCCGCGGCTCGCAGGCGCCCTACTTCCCCGCTCCGGCCCGCCCTGGGACACTTACCCGGAGCGCGGTCGGGGCATCCCGGAGCACGGAGAGCCCACGGGGGTGAGAGAAGGAAAGTGACGTAAGAGAAAGTCCTGCGGCCGCACCGGCTGCCACCAGGTGGGCCACCCGCCCTGCAGCCCGCCCCCACCCCACGTGACACGCGGGCTTCTCTCGGCCACCCACGCGCACGCAGGCACGCGCACACAGCGCCCAAAGGCCATCTAATCTCGCGGACTCCGTGAGGCCACCTTCCTCCCGGGCCCCACACTGATTTCTTGAGCGCGAGGCCTCGTAGTGGCTCCCAGGACAAGTGAGCAGCGGTGGGTCAAAGCGAAGCAGGGGCCTCGGCAACCAAACGGGGGAGCCAGGATTTACCCAGGGACTTTCCAGACTGACCACCCCCAACACAGGGGCAAATAAACTATTATCGTGTGACCAGGGGTGACTCCACTGGGCCCGGTCTTGGTGCCTCGGGACCATTCTGCTGCCTCAGTGGATCCCCGCCGCCCGGTGGAGGCCTCCAGCGTCTTCTGGCAGGACCACGCAGGGTCCGTCCCTTCAGTGGTGGCCTCCTGGGGCCGGGGGGGGGGGCGGGGTTCTCTTCCCCACGTTTTGTGCCCTGGCCCTTCTGGGGGTCCACGCACGGTTCTCCTCCGCGGCCTCATCGAGGCCGAGGCCGAGCTATCGGGTGGAGGAGACCCCCGCTCCCACCAGCGGCTGCGCAGACAACAGTTGCCAGGGACGCAGCCAATGAAGGGGGGCACATGGGGCCCTCCCGAGGGCAGCTGGTCCGGCTGTGGCCCCCGGAAGCCTGTGCCGCAGCCCCGGCCTCGGAGGGGTGGGGTGGGCTGGGCCCGTCGCCCCGGCCTGCGCTCCTACCTGACCCCCTTTCATGTCCTTCATGTTCATGGCGTTCTTCATGCCTTTGCCTTTCTCCTTCTTGTTCTTCTTCTTCTTGCAGCAGCACTTCTTGCAGATGCAGAAGCAGCAGGTGACAAGCAGGAGGCCGGCGACCACGGCAATGGCGATCAGCGCCCAGGGCGGTACTGGCCACGGAGGAGCCGGGTCAGCGGGGCTCAGCCCGCCCCCCACCCCCCTGCAAGCAGCCACGGCCACAGCGTTGAGCACGAGCCACGTCTCCTCCCCGGAGCCTGCGCAGTCCCGCCCTCCGCGCCCACGGGCCGTGGACAGGGCCCCCGACCGAGGCGCAGGAGCCCCGGGGCCACCCCGAGCCGGCGGCCCAGGGCCCTGGCCGCGCCCCACGCCCCGAGCCAGCATCTCCCATGGGGGGGGCCCACCCGCGACCTCCGCCGGCTCCAGGAACCGGGAAGGCGATGGTGGTGGGGGGAGCTTCTGTTTCCCAAACAAGGTAACGCGACGGGAGATCTTCAGCCAGCAGGGCCGTGTCGCGCGGGTTCCCACCCTCCTCCGGTTTCAAGCGCCGGCGTGTCCGGGCGCTGGCAGCGGCCCTTCCCCCCCCCGGGAGGCTGGGGCGCCCGCCCTCCCTGGAGACGCGCAGCAGGCCCGGCCCGGGGCCCCCCGCGGGCACTCACAGGGGATGCTCTGGATCTTGTTGAAGAACTTGGCCTGTATGTAGGTGAACAGGTCATCCTTACTCGACCCGGCGCCCCCGCTCTCCGTCGAGTTGTCTAAGAGCCCGGTGGACACCGTGGCCGTGGTGGTGGCGGGAGCCACGATGGGCTCCTGGTTCCTCTTGAAGATGTTCCTCATGGTGGCGGAGGCGACGGCTGCGGGCGGCAGGGGTGGGAACAGGTGAGCGGCCGCAGCCCGAGCGCACAGCTCCGCCCGAGGACTGGGAGCCTCTCTCGGGAGCTAAAGGCCTGGGGCACCCGCGGGCTCAGCGGTCGGGCGACCGTCGGGCGTCCGCCTCCAGCCCAGGTCGTGACCCCGGGGTCCCAGGATCGAGTCCCGCGTCGGGGTCCCCTCAGGAGCCTGCCTCTCCCTCTGCCTGTGTCTCTGTCTCTCTGTGTGTCTCTCATGAATAAATAAAATCTTAACCAAAAAAAAATTTAAAACCACTAAACACTATTACTATCGATCCCTTTATAATCCAAAGATAGTTCCCATAATGTGAACGACTGCGGTGAAACAGCGACGCGACCGTCCTCCCCACGTTGGCTCGTCCTGGGTCAGGCGCCGTGCAAAGCCCTCTCCGTGCGTGATGTCGCTTAACCCAGACTCAGCCTCATGCTCGGCCACCGTCCCGCTGAGCAGACGCGGAGGGGGCTCCGGGAGGCCGGGCCTGCACCCCGAGGGCTCCTTCGTGACCGTCTGTCCTCCTCGACCTGTCCCTGCCGTCACCGTCGCCGCCTCCCGCCTCCAGCACCATCGTGAAAACGGGGGGCAAGAGAGTCAGGGAGCAGCTGCCCAGGGTCCGCCGCCCGGAGGCACGTCTGCTGCGCATCTCGGGGCCGCTCGCCTTCTCCGGGGTGTGTTTTACGTGTGGAGACCCCCGCTCCGCGCGAGGCCCTGCTACCCGCGATTCGCCATTCTGCCTTTCTTCTTTTTTAATTTTTATTTATTTATGATAGTCACACAGAGAGAGAGAGGCAGAGACACAGGCAGAGGGAGAAGCAGGCTCCATGCACCGGGAGCCCGACGTGGGATTCGATCCCGCGTCTCCAGGATCGCGCCCTGGGCCAAAGGCAGGCGCCAAACCGCTGCGCCACCCAGGGATCCCTCATTCTGCCTTTTAACCTAAAATTTTACCATCTGCCTTTTCTCTCTCTTTAAAAAAAAAAAATTTCTTATCTTAGCGCGTGCGCACACACAAGTGGGGGAGGGGCAGAGGGCGAGAAGCAGGCCCCCCCCACCTGAGCACGGACCCGTGTGGGGCCCTAACCCGGGCTGGGGGCCTGACTGGAGCCGAAACCAAGCGGGCGGCCGGCGCCCCAGGCCTTCTCCATCAGCGACACTGTCCTTTGCCGCCGCAGCTGGGCACCCGGGGGCCCCGCGTGGTCCACGCTCCAACGCAGGCGCCGGAAGGCCCGCGTGGGGCCGCCGAGGGGCCGCCCGTTGCAGCGAGGCGGCGGGAGGACGGCGCGTGGGCCCCGCGGGGCCAGGCGGGCGGGCGCTGCTCCCACGGAGGAGCCCCCAGACCCGAGCGAGGAGGAGCGGGGCTGCGGCAGGAAGGACGAGGCGAGGCCCTGCGCTCCCTCCCTCCGTCACTGGCCTCGTGTCATGCGCGTGGAGGGACTGCGCGTGACGTGGAGCGAACGACTGCGGCGACTGAGGTTCTGGCTGAGAACAGCCGCAGGAGAGATGCCTGGTCCGAGTCTGTAAGGGGCGCCCGGACCCACCCGGGGGAGAGAGCGCTGTCCTGGGGCGTGACCTGGGGCGTGACCGAGGCCGAGACTGGGCTTCCCCCCAGGGGAGGGGACAGGAGCGGCGGTGGCGGGGTGAGGCCGCGTGGGCCAAGGCCCGGAGCGGAGGCGCTGACTGTGAGCCCGGAGGGAGCGGGCCCGACGGGGCGGCCAGGGGCGGGGAGGACAGGCAGCTGCAGCGCGGCCCCCCACGGCCTGTCCCAGGCTCACGGAAGCCGTCAGAGGGTTTAGGGACGCAGGTAACGCGGACAAATAGACATTCTGAAAACTGTGCTTTGGCGGCAGCGAGTTAAAGCCTGAATCCACCACGACCCCAGAGAGAGGGGAAAGACCTCCAAGGACCCAGTGACGGCGTCTTGTCAGCCCCAGGTCCCCGTGAGGGAGTCTGCGGTGTCCTCGGGCAATCACCAGAGGGGAGTGACACACGGCGGCCCACGGGGGACATGGGCTGTTCATAAAGCGGCAGCACATCAGGGCCTTGTCCAGGGCTTGGAGCCCGGAGGCCCTTTTATTTATTAATTTTTATTTATATTTTTTTAAAGATCTTATTTATTCACGAGAGACACAGAGAGAGGCAGAGACACAGGTGGAGGGACAAGCAGGCTCCCTGCGGGGATCCCGACGCGGGACTCGATCCCAGGACCTGGGGTCACGCCCTGGGCCCGGGCAGATGCCCGACCCCCGAGCCCCCGGGCGTCCCGCTGCCTGATTTTTCTAAATACACTTTTACTGTGACTTGGCCACACGCGAGCGTCCCCGCCTCCCAGCGCAGCCGAGTGGCCGAGGTCGCCGGGCCGCCTGCTGCTTGAGGAGGGGGCCGCCCACCCCACCGAGCCCCGGGCCCTGGATGCGCTGGGAAGCACCGGGGAGCAGGAGACGCACGGGGGCCCGGGCACCCCGGCCCTCACCGCACACGCGGAGCCGTCCACGCGGCAGCCGCCCCACGGTCACCACCTCCCGCAGGCACTGGGCCCACGGTCAGGGCCGGCCTCCATCAGCTCACGGAGGTGGGGGGCTCCGCGCCACTGCCCCGTCTGTCCCCCCTTCCGTCCCCTGTCTGTCCCTCTGTCCGTTCCCCCGTCCATCCCCGGTCCGTCCTCCCATCCATCCTCCCTCCCATCCCCCTGTCCGTCCCCCCCCGTCCGTTCCCCTGTCTGTGCCTCCTGTCCATCCCTCTATCTGTCCTCCCGTCTGTCCTCCCTCCCGTCCCCCCTTGGTCCCCCGTCGGTCCCCTGTCCGTCTCTCTGTCCATCCTCCCTCCTGTCCCCGCATCCCTCCCCCATGCATCCCCCGTCCATCCCAGGTCGCTCCCGGGCCCAGCACACAAGCCCTGTTCCCGCGACAGAGCCCCGCAGCCGCCCACTTGCCCCAGGGCCCACCGCTCCCCCCCCACCGCCCGCCTCCGGGGTGAGGTCCGCTGCGAGGACACCTGCCAGGAGCGGGGTAGGGTGCGGCCCCGCCGGCCACCCGCACCCCCGGCCGCCGTCCTTGTTGGGGGTTCCCATCACCCCCCACGTGCACCTCGCTGGGCTCCAAGCTCCGTGGACAGGGACAGGCGAGCAGCGAGCAGCAGGCCCTCCGCGCGGCCCACGTCCCCCACCTGGTACCTCCCGCCGGGAGTGTCCGGGCACCACCGCCCGTTCCCACAGCCCACGCGGATCCCCCACACGCTCTCGTGTCCCCCGTTGGGGAAGCCGCAGGGCTCGGTTCCTCCCCGACCTGCCGACTCCCTGGGTCTCCCGCCTCCTTCCCCAGAATCCCGGGAGGGCGCGAGGGTGCGTGGGGGCAGGGGCAGGGGACGCGAGGGTGGGGGGGAGCTGACGTGCTGTGCCCAGGGTGGCCCTGGCTCCTGCGACCTCAGGCCCCATGGAGGACAGCGCACCTCTGGGGGCAGCCTCCGCCCCCCTCCCCGCACTCCCGCCTGCTCCAGCCCTCCCGCAGCCTCCCCTCCCCCCGCACCCCCCCCCCACACCGCTGGGCGACAGCGAACACCTGGCCGCTTTGTCAAGCGCTGCGGGTCACCAGGGTGGGCCGGGCCGGGGACGCGCTGCAGCAGGACGGGCGGTGAGGTGTGTGCGCAGCCGGGAGCCCCTGCACACTGGGGAGCACGCCGGGACCCCCGGGGCCTTGCACACTCGGGAGCCACCGGGACCCTCCAGGGCCTCACACACTGGAAGCTGCCTCCGGCCCCCTCTGGCAGGGTAAGCAGCCACATTTGCCGCGGTTCGTGGCGGGGGACAGTGGTGGGGGACGGTGACAACCTGGTCGACTTCTCCTTTACCTTATCCATCCCTCTCCCGGCACGGAGGCCCAGAGCAGGAGGCAGGACCGCGGGCGGGGTCAGGGAGGCCGTGCGAACCGAGGGAGCCCTTTAACAAGCCGACAGCGCGTGTCTGGAGGCCGTGTCCTCGACTCCCAACACCCAGAGGTGCTCAGAGCTCAGCCGTGACACCCTTGACAGTCACCCATCGGGTAGGAGGGGAGGGGGGCGGACAGGAAGCAGAAGCCGGCCTCACACCCACGCACACTCGCACTCACAGGCTCCCGCACGCGCTGCTCTCAGTCTGCGCTGAGCCTCGTGCGGGGAACGCTGCCCCGCGGCTTCACCCTTTGGGTGCAGGTGTGGGACGGCGTCCAGAGAACGGGGAGCAAGAGATGACCATGCACAAGAGGAAGCGTCGTGTCGGGGGGCGGAGGGCGCTGCTGCACGGGCACTGCCGTATCCAGAGTCGGGCACTGGGAACACGCACGCGGCGCTGGCGACATGCGTCGTCGTTGCTTCCGGGGGGGGGGGATGTAGGGAGGAGCACCCGGCAGACACGTCCCTGGGCCCCCCGCTGTATTTTTGGGATTTTGAAGCACACAAACATACCTGCCTCCCCGCCCCCGGCCCAGGCTGCTTCAGAAGCAGGAGCCCAGGCCCCTGCAGCGCAAAACAGGGGACCGACGAGGGGATGTACGTAGCCCACTCAGGACTCAGCCAGCCTGGGGTCACCCAGGACCTCCCTGCCTCACCCGCAGGCCACCTGCCTCCTCAGCCCACGTCTCCCCGCAGGCTCCTCCAGCTGGCCTGTGGCTCCTCCCAGGGGACGCTCCCTTCCAAATCAGATTCTGACCCCACATCAGAGGTGAGTACGCTTGATCCCCACCCCCCAGCCAAAGCACACAGGCGTGTGTACACACACACACTCGCCACCGACGGCCACCGACGGCCACGGACGGCCACCTCCCACCAATTCAGTACGACCTGGGGACAATGCGCTTCTCCGGATTATCACCCGCAAGCGTGGCCTCAATTAACAAAGATAACGGGGAGCTGGGGGGATGCAACGTACTTAACCTCTCCCCACCTCGGCTTCGCAGAAACCCAAGTAACAAGGTGGAAGCAGGTAACCAGGCGCCTG